CGCATTGCCCCTTCGCCTGCAGTGTCCTCCAGGAGCGTCGGTCGTACAAACATCAACATCAAATCCCTCAAACCAACACGTGAAGCCGGGAGGCCGAGCGGCCCAGAAACCGGATCTCTGTTTGCTTTTCCTCAGGGGATGTATCCTCTTCTCCCCCTTCCCTTTCTGTTACATTTCACTGGGGCTTTCCAGATCGTCCATTCAGAAGCTCTCTATGGTTTGATGCGTCTCCCTTCGTCCAGTGAGGAAGACGCTCTGAGAGGCTGAACCCTAATTGATTTGGCTGGAATTTGTGGGGCGGAGCTCCAGCAGCAGCAGGTAGTAATTACTTCACAGCAAGTTAATATCAACAGCATGCTGAGGTCCGTGAGGATGATGGCACATGGGGGGACGCATGGGGGAGGACGTTCTGTTTTTTTGGAGGTGTAGTGTTTCCAGCTTTCTTACATCTGCTCCAGTAGAGACACCCTGGACGGTGGGTTTGAGACGCTTCTGGCCTGGCCAGAGAGCCGTTTGTCCTCTGTGACATTTTTTTGCCATTTGGTCACCCCTTGTTTTTTGTTTTTTTTTACCCCTTTTCCCTCTTTTTTTGGCAGAAGCCCTGAAGCTTTTCAGCCTTTTGGCTGCGAGGCGTCTGCTGTCCACTCTTCTCTAGCCAGGAAGTGATGAGACTTTCTAGTTAATACGTTCCAGACCAGTGACATTACATCAATCATCGTCGCTGAGGCAGTTTGAGGCGGGAAATAAATAACAAAAAAGAGAGGATCAGGGACACAAGGGGTCAGCAGTAATACAAAGGTAATCTCTTTGACCCTTAATGATTGCTTCCTTTACAAACATAAATGGTCCCCTCGAGCTCGGCCCGCCGCGGCTTTCCTCTCTCTGAGTGGATTGTGTTGTTTTAATCTCTTCATACAGGAAGCGAGTCAAAGGATATCAACACCAGGCCTCACATTTACCCCACACATCAACACACGTCGGTCAAAAATAGTGAAAATGCACAAAAACCGCTTCGTAAATCCTTTTTCCTACACTGCTGGGTTTACACTGTTGTGACTTTAGCATTGGATTAAAAATTAAAGCCCATGTTTGCTGGGGTGGACAGGAGGAGCAGCCTCATCTTTTTCTGAAACTTAAACTGATCCAAGGTTCACTGAGCAGCCGCAGGAAATGGTAAGATCACAAAGTGATGCTGTGTAATAATGTTATGTTGGTGTTTGTAGAGATGAGATTTGAACCTGTTTGTTCGCCTAAGCTAGCATGAGCGTTTTGACCAGCTAGCACAGAGTGCTGCTAGCTTTGTCCAGCATTCACACTTCATTCAGAAAAATAACTGGTGCTGTTAATAATAATATTAATATAAATGGATTGTTTTACAGAATTGCACTACGGAACAAGTTTGCACATTTAAGCTAACATGAGTTGTTTACTTGCTAAGTAGTTAGGGCTAAGCTAATTATAGCTATGTCGCATTTTGACTAAACATGTGGTCATAAAATTTGGGTGAGAAGTTATACTTATTTCCATCTTAAATTTTCTTACAATGCCTTGCGTAGCCTGCAGGAGGCTGATTGCACAGAAATTAAATATGACTGACGATAACATATATTGTTGCACAAGTTGGTCTTTAACGTTGCTTTCATGGAAAACTTGAATTGACTTTCTTGAACTTTAGTGAACATTGTTGTTTTAAATAATATTTGAAATGTAAGAAATCATGCAAATCCATGAAACTCTTACTCAAGCTAGATGCATATTTTACACCTTTCTTGAGAACTTAGCATAAAACTAAAGCATCAAAATCCTCTAGAATGATTTATTACTTAAATGCATAAGCTGCTTTTAACTGTTCTTCACAGAAAAAAATGACAAGTTAAGCTCCATCCAAAATGCACTCTGGGATTTGACTATACTTTCCCCAGATTACCTGATGCTTAAGTCATTAATACATAGAAATCTGTACAAATTAGTGAGAAGATCAGACAATTAGAAAGTGGGAAAGTCATTTCTCAGAGATAAGCATTACTTACATGACTTGGAAGGGGCAGTTGGGGGTGTGGAGAAACTTGAGCTCCTTGATGGAGCGCTGAGAGACGGTGTTGAGCGTGGTGCGACACCAGCAGCGCTCCACCAGACTGATGGGCTTGGCTGCAAGCAGACAACACAAACCAAAAACTCATCACAAAGCTGCAAGCAGGCAGCAATAAAGTCAATAAGCAAATCAGCAGCAGGCGCCAAAATTAAACTGAAATAAAATCATTTCCGTTACAAATTCAAGCATTAATGCGCCTCTTTCTTCAGTGAGCATGTTTAATCTACTGTAACAAATTTTCACAAAGCATGGAGGATTTATGAGTTTAGCTACTATTTTTTTTTTCCAGGACATGTTAATTAAAAAGAGATTAGCCCTTTATGGCCACTTCTTTTCTTTCTTTCACACCACTGCAGGTGCAGAATTTTAGCCTTTCATTGCAGCGGCATTTAGCCCAGCCACTCTAAAGGGAAAAGGGTCCTCGACCTTTTCCAATATTCCTCCCTCGGCGGTTTTTTTGGTTTTTGTTTTTTTCTCATAAAAAGTCCTCTGGAGCTGAAACGGCATCAGCAGGCTGTGTGGAAACCAGCTCAAGCGCATTCTTAAAATTATTACAAATCAGCGCTGTGGATACCTGCTGAGCACCGAGGAAAACAGACATGCAACTGTTACTGCATGTAGTTGCTCATTTGGCTTTTTTTGTAATTTGAACAGCTTAAAAATGTCTTTGAGAATACACAAAATATAACACTTAGCCCGTTTACAGCAGATAATTTCACATTTTAAACATTTGCTGTGGGATATATATATATATATATATATATATATATATATATATATATATAATCCTAAACACCAAATGTCTTTCCACAAATGGCTAAATCCTCAGTAATTTCAGCCTAATGATTCACACCCGTTCAGACTTCTTTCTCATGCAAACTAAGGGATTATTATGCAGCTTGCAGCACCGGGGCCACAAGCAAAGGGCCCACTGCTTTCCCCACTTCACTCTTTATCCCTAATTAGAAACTAATTATAAGAAAGCAAAGAGTAAAAGACAAATATACGCTCATACATAGACCCGAGGCTTTAATATGCTGGAGGGGGCTCTCGTTGGGGCTGAAACGACAAGCTGTAGCACAAAGTAGCAGCAGCAGCGGCGGGCGACTCGGCAGCCCAGAGGTTAACTCGTAGGAGATTAATGGGGGCTCAGCGCGAAGGCAGCGCTCAAGATTTAAGATTCTAGACTTTACTGTGGAAGTGAAGGCAGGAAATCCGATTTGAAATAATGTTTCAACCAAAAATATTGGACATATTCATTGTTTTTCTGTATTCCAGTTAGTAGGACTTTGAATTTATAGTAATAATGTCATTTATCTTCTTCCATGTTCTTATATTTTATATGTTTTGCACTTTTAAGCCCCTAATTTTGTCTTAAGATTTAAAAAAAATGATCTCACAGCACTTTGTGATTCTATCTTTAAATATAAATAAATGATTTCTTCATTAATTCATTCAATTTATAAAACAAAATAAACTAAAGCGTTAATATCATAGATATGAAATAATCCTGGTTGACTTTACATAACTTGGTGCTACATAAACAAATAAAGTGAGTTTTCACTTCAAGCTCCATCAGACCATTTTATGTACACATCACCTTTAGTTTGAGGTAAAACTTTAAGAACCAATGGATCAATTTGCCTCAGTGCTAGAGAAAACAGTTTGTGAAAAAGCATGATTATAAAACAAAGCGGTCAAAACTGATCTACTAAAGAATGAAAACAGGTAGAAAAAGTAATATTTAAAGCACCTCCCATCATCATTTATCACTGCAACGCGATGCAAACTTGTAGAAAAATAACAACAGAGTTCTTTTAGAATAACAGTCTGCCATCTAAAAACTCAAATTTCTTGAAATTTATCACAGAGCTGCAGTAATATTCTGATCCAAAAGCCATGCCTCGTGTTTGCAATGAGTGAAAAATAATGAAACAAACGTGCAAAATCTGGAAAACATGTCCAATTAATGTAAGTACCCAGATGGTACAAGCTCCACATTAAAATGGAAACTCGCTTTTCTCATGCAGATTGAAACCATAAAAAGTGAAAGTTCCTCCATTAAATCCATATGTTCACCAAAACAACATACTGGATAAGCTTTCTTCATAAAAAAAATGTCTAAAGAATCACCAAACCAGCAAAGTGACCTGAAACCTCCCCAGAGTTGCCAGTCCAGACTCACCATTTGCAGTGGGAACCTGCATGACCACGGCCAGCAGAGTCACTAGCGCCAGCAGCTTGACGTCCATGGCTTCAAGAATGGCTTCAGGAATGGCTTGCGCTCTCTTCCTCCTTTACAATCCAGCGCACGACTGTGTCCTCCAGCTCCACTGCGGCTGCAGTTAAAGCTTCAGTGGGAGGGAGCAGAAACGGAGAGGGGGGAGTCCCACTTTCTCAGGAGGGCGAGGCGTGGGTCCCGGGAGAGGAGGTGAGAGCAGGGGAGGAGAAGAAGAGGAGACTTCCCTGATTGCAAGCGTGTTGGCTGGGAGTCAGTGGACAGCTCTAGGGGTGGCGTTCTCTCTTTTCATGTAATGTTTCTTTTCCAGATTTCATCTTTTTGTATCTTTATTTGATCTCTTCCATCATCTGGCGGGTTTTCCTCTCCACCACACACCGAAACCAGTACACCGGCAGTTTGCCCACCAGTCAGTGCCAGCCCCACTGTGAGTGGCAGAGCTCCCTACGGCTGGGCTAGTAATGCTGCACGCTTCAGCTGAGTGTTGTGTTATTGTTTGCTAGGACACAGACCGCTCTCCCCCCCCCCCCCCCCCCCCCCCCCCCCCCCCCCTCTCCCCCCCCCTTCCTCCCCCCCCCCCCTCCCTCCNTAAGATCATAGAAGAATCCATGATTTTTGAGGTGGACGTGTTTTCTGTTGCTAAATTGTTTTAACAAAAATATGTTCTTTCCCTTGCATGGCTTCAACTTTGTCTGGCAAAAGTCCCGTTGTCAGTAAATGCTTAAGACTTTATCTTATCTCCCAGTTGTTAGTAGATGTTCCCTCTTACATAAAAAAAGAAGAAAAAAAAAAGTGATACACAGTCGTATAAATGGCTCTGGCTCCTCTTTGTGAACATACAGCAGCACCGTGAGGCTGGTGTCAGCACAGTGGAGGATTCCTCTAAACGAAGCGAGGCTCCATCAAACATGGACGCCCGGCTCGCCTCTGACCATCAGCGGCCGCTAGAATTCAGCGGTCGTGTCTGGAAAACCCGCATTCTGTCGTCGAAGGAGGAGGAGAAGATGGAGGCCAGAGGGGAAATTTATAGTACATGGTGATGGAGAACATGCAGGTGATTTTCGTGACAGAAGAAGAAGAAGTGTGGGAGGAGATGGAAACCTGGGAATCTTTGTTGAGAACGTGGTGAATTTTAGTAGAAAGGGAGACACGTTTGCCTCGCATGAGTTCCCTTTGGCGTTCGCAAATTAAGCACTTCTTCATTTCACCAAAGCGCAACTGATGCGTCGGTGCGTGAGCGTCCTCTTGGAGACGTTATTAGTGTTCAAGAGGTTATGAAGTCACAAAGCTTTTGTGAGTTGGAAAGCTTGAGGTTTCTCTTTACAGAGGTGTAACAAAAATAAAAACCCTGACTATTTATAATCACAGAAGCAAAGTTAGTTCAATTCATCCTCGTTCAGAGACCAAAAAAAAACAAAAAAAACAACAAAAAAAAAACACACTTTCTGTTTGCATCCTGCTGTTTCAAAGTTTCATCACTGCATGTGGAGCTTGTGTGGATTTTAGAAGACGACTCCTCACCCAGTTGGGTTGGGGGGCCAGGGGGAGAGACAGCGGTGCGGTCAGTGCAGGTTTGGAGGTGAAGTGCTGCTTCTGCAAGCGGTCCACAGAGGTGGACAGGTAGGTAGGGTACAGCGTGTTTGCATACATCCAAAGCAGTGTCAGGGAGGTACGGAGGTTTGACCTGGGGGGGTTCAGACTCGGAGGCGGTGCGCTCCATGCCCCTTTCTCTGCAGCTTAGACTTTCTTGGTGTTGCGTCTCTTGGACTTTTTCACCCTGGGGAGATAAGCAGAGGTATGAAAAGCTTAGGGTTTGGTTTTTGTGATTTGACCAAAAAAAAATCAAGATTTGTCTTTTTTTTCCCGACATTTCAAAGATGCATTTCATACGCCTCTGATAACATGCAGTTAGCAAAGACGTAAATGTGGAAATGTGCAGGACGAAGGTAAATACTGAACATCTGCTCTCAAACATATGTGAAGTTTGGATTAAATGTTTAGCAGGTTTGCAGAAACAAAGGCGCACGAATCGCAGCGGAAGATTTAAGTCTGTTCATAAATTAGTGCAAATTATTTCTCCTATAGCCCGTCTGCTGCTCATAAACAGTTTCAGACAGTAATTGTAAGCGGGAATGTGAAAAGTTTATTTCTTTCATCTAAACCCGTGTGAGCAGAGCCGCATATTTCTTGTTTTGTGAGGGATCATTCGTCAACGGCAAAGGTTTTTATTTTTTATTTTTGTTCTTACTTGTTGATGGCGTTCTTCAGGTATCCTTGCAACCACTTGGTCTCAGGGTTGATGCAAACCTCCCTGTTGTTCTTCAGCTTAGCACTACGGAAGAAAAACAAAAAAACCCATAAATTACAAACCATTTGTCTGTGATTATCGTCTGTGATTATTACCATTCGACATGCAGATGGACATTTACTTCTCCAGTTTCTCTGCTAACACGTGTGTTTACACAAAGAGATAGAGAGGAAGGTTCTGAGTCTCATCCAAGCAGCGTCTTATAAATCAGCTTCAAGGACATCATGGAGGCAAATTTATGCTGCAGGACATTTTTTTTTTCCATCCCCTGCATCTTGGTGACGATGCGCAGCAGAGAGGGAGTGTCTACAAATGATTATTTTAATCAAAGTTTTACAAAAAAAAAAGAAAAAGAAAATCGTTGCAGGTTTATTAATTTTTCTGCTGGGTGTGTTACGAAAACCTTCAGTGAGATCTTGTTGAAGTGAAACAGATACAATGTAACAGCAACCCCTAATGATGTGTAAAGACTCTTAAAATGAATTTATCTTGGCGATGGATTCCATTAAACATATTTGTTCTCAAATGTTTAGTTTGAATAAACTAAAGAAAACTAAAGAATCCATCATTTTTTGTTTTTAAAACCCTCGTACCGCCAGCAACCCGAATGAAATGCAACAGAAACATTTTATTACTGATTATTTCTGCTGTTTCAAAGTTGCTCTGATAGTCTGGAAACTTTCCCGGTGTGTTAAGACCAATTTCTTTTGGTTATAGGTCATTTTTGTTGAGGCAAAATTATTTTAGGGTCTTCATAAATCTGGAAATTGCTGCAGAAATATGCTTCTTTGTTCATGTAAGAAGCATAAACATGCCCATATCTACTTTAAAACACCTGCAACCGTGACAAAGAAAGCCTTAATGAATAATAAAGTGACGTTCACTTTATTATCTTAAATTGCTTGTCAGTTGATTGATCATTTTTCAAACCTCCCCTGTCAGAAAGGGATTACTGGTTGTTCTAATATGTTGAAGGGGAAATACTAAATCAAACCTTATCAGTGTTTCATTCAAAGAACAAGGAAGCAGAACTTTCCTTATCTGCTGATTAAAAGCTAATCTATCCACGGTTCAAGTTTTGCTGAATAAATCGAAGGGATTTTAATACTAAATTGCACGTGTAGTGCCATAAATATGTCCCGCACGGTTTTGCTCCAAAACCCCTCGTCTCTAGAGAATCTCAGCATGTCCTGTTTAAACGAGACGGATTACGTTATTACTCCAGGTTTCTGTATGTTTGGGAAAAATCGCAGCTTTCTGTTTCCACTCACATCAGCGATGACACTGAACTCTCTCTGTAAAAATGTCTCTGCAAAGCACATTAAACGTCCTCACAGATCTGGCATCTCTGGATCGCCTCGATTTCATTTAAAACTTTCTTCTGTTTTGGTTTGGTGTGAATTTCTTACATGAAATATTCGCTTCTTACTTGTAGACATTGTGATTTTTTTGCCGGCTTGAATCCAGATTATTTTATTCAATAGGGGAAATATGGCTCAAGCATACGTGCTCTTGAAATGTAATTAAAATGACATAACTCGTACAGTTCTGATCGTTAACGTCTAAAACGTTTATAGTGAAACAGACACTGTAACTCAAACTGTTGACTCATTTACTTATAATTTGGCATTAATAAACAATTCCTCCAGACATCAAAATGCTTGTCACACTTTTCTGTCTCGCATTTCTGTGACGTGTTCAGGTTCTTTAGGAAAAAAAAAAAAAAACTCAAGTCTTCTTGTAATGTTAGATCTCAGTTTGCCTCCAAAGCCCCTACTGGGATTTATAGTGGGAATCATTGCTGGCCAGGTTTAAAACGTTCCATCTCTTCCTCTTTAATCACATTTCCATGCTCTTTTGTCTGCTTCTTTCACCGCCGGCGGTCTGCGGAACGATTTAACTATGAACCCGAGTTTACAAAAAATAGTTGCTTTTGTATTATCCGTTTAATCCCTTATTTCCTCCAGTAACGGAAGCATCAAAGCCAATCAGCAGTCAAACACAATCGGACCTCCGCCATGTTTCACTGTAAACGAGTCGTTCCTTTTTGTCACCTTCACACAAACAGATCCTCTGGTTGTTGTTTTTATTTAGTTTCCTCATCCCATCAAATATGATGTCGTAGAGAAGCTTTTTTTAATACAGGTTTTCACTTCCAGTACTTCCAGTTTCCTCATGATGTTATTATTACTGCGTCAAAAATATGTTAATGAATTTTCACTCTGAAAATCGTTCATTTAGTTGCGTAGGAGGCATCTCTCCTGTAACTATTAAAGTTAATTTATGCAGATGACAACAGGAAACTGTTTCGCAACACGATCGATGTGTAAAAGCTGGAGGAGCAAAATATCACGCTGCAGTCTTATTTCAGGAGCTTTACAGTTTTTCTTTTAAATCATTTTTCTCACCATCCTGCTCCAAACATGGAGGTAAAATAAACGTGCGCCCTCATCCGCCCTTGAATTTCACTATTCAAGTTGTTGTTTTTTTTTGTCTGCTGATTCACAAGAATTTACACACACAGCCTTCCTTGAGTGTCACTTTCTCTTATCTTTCCCATTTTGAAGAGGAATAATTAAGGGCGACAAAGGGTTTAGGGGGAGTTAGTAACTTGAGGTTTCTTTCTTTCTTATGTAATTTGAATATTTTTACAGCGAAAAGCTCTAATATACAATAAACCAATGTAGAGACACTTTACACTTTTGTAGTTCCTTAAACTACGTTTATTCATCCTGATTTCTTGGTGTTCCAGGTCTGTCGGTGAAAAGGCGGTGGAGGGATTAGCTTTCTTGTCCGGTTGAGTTTCAGATCAGACTGGACAGTGAGGGTTGGGGGGGTCAGGCTGTAAGGTTTCACCTCCTCTTAAAACATGTGGCTGATATCACACCCCGGTGCCGAAAGGTCGCGTTTGGGAGCCAACAGCTCGGAGGTGCAGCACCTCTCTGCCCCGCTCTCCTCCTCCCTCTGTCTCTCTGTCACACAACTGTAAATTCAACACATTCCTCAGACTGCGACCCTCTTCCCCGCTCTTCCCTACCCCGTCCACCCCATTCAGATGCTCCCACACACATTAGCAGGAGGAACGCATTGCCCCTTCGCCTGCAGTGTCCTCCAGGAGCGTCGGTCGTACAAACATCAACATCAAATCCCTCAAACCAACACGTGAAGCCGGGAGGCCGAGCGGCCCAGAAACCGGATCTCTGTTTGCTTTTCCTCAGGGGATGTATCCTCTTCTCCCCCTTCCCTTTCTGTTACATTTCACTGGGGCTTTCCAGATCGTCCATTCAGAAGCTCTCTATGGTTTGATGCGTCTCCCTTCGTCCAGTGAGGAAGACGCTCTGAGAGGCTGAACCCTAATTGATTTGGCTGGAATTTGTGGGGCGGAGCTCCAGCAGCAGCAGGTAGTAATTACTTCACAGCAAGTTAATATCAACAGCATGCTGAGGTCCGTGAGGATGATGGCACATGGGGGGACGCATGGGGGAGGACGTTCTGTTTTTTTGGAGGTGTAGTGTTTCCAGCTTTCTTACATCTGCTCCAGTAGAGACACCCTGGACGGTGGGTTTGAGACGCTTCTGGCCTGGCCAGAGAGCCGTTTGTCCTCTGTGACATTTTTTTGCCATTTGGTCACCCCTTGTTTTTTGTTTTTTTTTACCCCTTTTCCCTCTTTTTTTGGCAGAAGCCCTGAAGCTTTTCAGCCTTTTGGCTGCGAGGCGTCTGCTGTCCACTCTTCTCTAGCCAGGAAGTGATGAGACTTTCTAGTTAATACGTTCCAGACCAGTGACATTACATCAATCATCGTCGCTGAGGCAGTTTGAGGCGGGAAATAAATAACAAAAAAGAGAGGATCAGGGACACAAGGGGTCAGCAGTAATACAAAGGTAATCTCTTTGACCCTTAATGATTGCTTCCTTTACAAACATAAATGGTCCCCTCGAGCTCGGCCCGCCGCGGCTTTCCTCTCTCTGAGTGGATTGTGTTGTTTTAATCTCTTCATACAGGAAGCGAGTCAAAGGATATCAACACCAGGCCTCACATTTACCCCACACATCAACACACGTCGGTCAAAAATAGTGAAAATGCACAAAAACCGCTTCGTAAATCCTTTTTCCTACACTGCTGGGTTTACACTGTTGTGACTTTAGCATTGGATTAAAAATTAAAGCCCATGTTTGCTGGGGTGGACAGGAGGAGCAGCCTCATCTTTTTCTGAAACTTAAACTGATCCAAGGTTCACTGAGCAGCCGCAGGAAATGGTAAGATCACAAAGTGATGCTGTGTAATAATGTTATGTTGGTGTTTGTAGAGATGAGATTTGAACCTGTTTGTTCGCCTAAGCTAGCATGAGCGTTTTGACCAGCTAGCACAGAGTGCTGCTAGCTTTGTCCAGCATTCACACTTCATTCAGAAAAATAACTGGTGCTGTTAATAATAATATTAATATAAATGGATTGTTTTACAGAATTGCACTACGGAACAAGTTTGCACATTTAAGCTAACATGAGTTGTTTACTTGCTAAGTAGTTAGGGCTAAGCTAATTATAGCTATGTCGCATTTTGACTAAACATGTGGTCATAAAATTTGGGTGAGAAGTTATACTTATTTCCATCTTAAATTTTCTTACAATGCCTTGCGTAGCCTGCAGGAGGCTGATTGCACAGAAATTAAATATGACTGACGATAACATATATTGTTGCACAAGTTGGTCTTTAACGTTGCTTTCATGGAAAACTTGAATTGACTTTCTTGAACTTTAGTGAACATTGTTGTTTTAAATAATATTTGAAATGTAAGAAATCATGCAAATCCATGAAACTCTTACTCAAGCTAGATGCATATTTTACACCTTTCTTGAGAACTTAGCATAAAACTAAAGCATCAAAATCCTCTAGAATGATTTATTACTTAAATGCATAAGCTGCTTTTAACTGTTCTTCACAGAAAAAAATGACAAGTTAAGCTCCATCCAAAATGCACTCTGGGATTTGACTATACTTTCCCCAGATTACCTGATGCTTAAGTCATTAATACATAGAAATCTGTACAAATTAGTGAGAAGATCAGACAATTAGAAAGTGGGAAAGTCATTTCTCAGAGATAAGCATTACTTACATGACTTGGAAGGGGCAGTTGGGGGTGTGGAGAAACTTGAGCTCCTTGATGGAGCGCTGAGAGACGGTGTTGAGCGTGGTGCGACACCAGCAGCGCTCCACCAGACTGATGGGCTTGGCTGCAAGCAGACAACACAAACCAAAAACTCATCACAAAGCTGCAAGCAGGCAGCAATAAAGTCAATAAGCAAATCAGCAGCAGGCGCCAAAATTAAACTGAAATAAAATCATTTCCGTTACAAATTCAAGCATTAATGCGCCTCTTTCTTCAGTGAGCATGTTTAATCTACTGTAACAAATTTTCACAAAGCATGGAGGATTTATGAGTTTAGCTACTATTTTTTTTTTCCAGGACATGTTAATTAAAAAGAGATTAGCCCTTTATGGCCACTTCTTTTCTTTCTTTCACACCACTGCAGGTGCAGAATTTTAGCCTTTCATTGCAGCGGCATTTAGCCCAGCCACTCTAAAGGGAAAAGGGTCCTCGACCTTTTCCAATATTCCTCCCTCGGCGGTTTTTTTGGTTTTTGTTTTTTTCTCATAAAAAGTCCTCTGGAGCTGAAACGGCATCAGCAGGCTGTGTGGAAACCAGCTCAAGCGCATTCTTAAAATTATTACAAATCAGCGCTGTGGATACCTGCTGAGCACCGAGGAAAACAGACATGCAACTGTTACTGCATGTAGTTGCTCATTTGGCTTTTTTTGTAATTTGAACAGCTTAAAAATGTCTTTGAGAATACACAAAATATAACACTTAGCCCGTTTACAGCAGATAATTTCACATTTTAAACATTTGCTGTGGGATATATATATATATATATATATATATATATATATATATATATATAATCCTAAACACCAAATGTCTTTCCACAAATGGCTAAATCCTCAGTAATTTCAGCCTAATGATTCACACCCGTTCAGACTTCTTTCTCATGCAAACTAAGGGATTATTATGCAGCTTGCAGCACCGGGGCCACAAGCAAAGGGCCCACTGCTTTCCCCACTTCACTCTTTATCCCTAATTAGAAACTAATTATAAGAAAGCAAAGAGTAAAAGACAAATATACGCTCATACATAGACCCGAGGCTTTAATATGCTGGAGGGGGCTCTCGTTGGGGCTGAAACGACAAGCTGTAGCACAAAGTAGCAGCAGCAGCGGCGGGCGACTCGGCAGCCCAGAGGTTAACTCGTAGGAGATTAATGGGGGCTCAGCGCGAAGGCAGCGCTCAAGATTTAAGATTCTAGACTTTACTGTGGAAGTGAAGGCAGGAAATCCGATTTGAAATAATGTTTCAACCAAAAATATTGGACATATTCATTGTTTTTCTGTATTCCAGTTAGTAGGACTTTGAATTTATAGTAATAATGTCATTTATCTTCTTCCATGTTCTTATATTTTATATGTTTTGCACTTTTAAGCCCCTAATTTTGTCTTAAGATTTAAAAAAATGATCTCACAGCACTTTTTGATTCTATCTTTAAATATAAATAAATGATTTCTTCATTAATTCATTCAATTTATAAAACAAAATAAACTAAAGCGTTAATATCATAGATATGAAATAATCCTGGTTGACTTTACATAACTTGGTGCTACATAAACAAATAAAGTGAGTTTTCACTTCAAGCTCCATCAGACCATTTTATGTACACATCACCTTTAGTTTGAGGTAAAACTTTAAGAACCAATGGATCAATTTGCCTCAGTGCTAGAGAAAACAGTTTGTGAAAAAGCATGATTATAAAACAAAGCGGTCAAAACTGATCTACTAAAGAATGAAAACAGGTAGAAAAAGTAATATTTAAAGCACCTCCCATCATCATTTATCACTGCAACGCGATGCAAACTTGTAGAAAAATAACAACAGAGTTCTTTTAGAATAACAGTCTGCCATCTAAAAACTCAAATTTCTTGAAATTTATCACAGAGCTGCAGTAATATTCTGATCCAAAAGCCATGCCTCGTGTTTGCAATGAGTGAAAAATAATGAAACAAACGTGCAAAATCTGGAAAACATGTCCAATTAATGTAAGTACCCAGATGGTACAAGCTCCACATTAAAATGGAAACTCGCTTTTCTCATGCAGATTGAAACCATAAAAAGTGAAAGTTCCTCCATTAAATCCATATGTTCACCAAAACAACATACTGGATAAGCTTTCTTCATAAAAAAAATGTCTAAAGAATCACCAAACCAGCAAAGTGACCTGAAACCTCCCCAGAGTTGCCAGTCCAGACTCACCATTTGCAGTGGGAACCTGCATGACCACGGCCAGCAGAGTCACTAGCGCCAGCAGCTTGACGTCCATGGCTTCAAGAATGGCTTCAGGAATGGCTTGCGCTCTCTTCCTCCTTTACAATCCAGCGCACGACTGTGTCCTCCAGCTCCACTGCGGCTGCAGTTAAAGCTTCAGTGGGAGGGAGCAGAAACGGAGAGGGGGGAGTCCCACTTTCTCAGGAGGGCGAGGCGTGGGTCCCGGGAGAGGAGGTGAGAGCAGGGGAGGAGAAGAAGAGGAGACTTCCCTGATTGCAAGCGTGTTGGCTGGGAGTCAGTGGACAGCTCTAGGGGTGGCGTTCTCTCTTTTCATGTAATGTTTCTTTTCCAGATTTCATCTTTTTGTATCTTTATTTGATCTCTTCCATCATCTGGCGGGTTTTCCTCTCCACCACACACCGAAACCAGTACACCGGCAGTTTGCCCACCAGTCAGTGCCAGCCCCACTGTGAGTGGCAGAGCTCCCTACGGCTGGGCTAGTAATGCTGCACGCTTCAGCTGAGTGTTGTGTTATTGTTTGCTAGGACACAGACCGCTCTTCCCCCCCCCCCCCCCACTTTTCCTCTCTTCGTCTCGCTGACTCCTTGTCCTCTGGCCAGGTTCCTGTCCTCTGGCCCGGTTCCTGTCCTCGATGCCTGGTTCATGTCCTTAATAGGCTCCATGGGACTTTCATTGTCTGCTCCGTGATTAAACTATTACGAATCTGTTTAGACCTCACATCTGGACCACAATTAGGAGGAAGGAAAAGTTGTGCTGAAAGAAAAAAAAAAAAAAAGAGAGAGAAGCTGCAGATCTTAAAATTGACTTCTGTGATTCTCTATTTCTTGTGTGCAAAGCAAGCCAAAGAAAAATCAAGAAGAAGGTGAAGTTTGGAGGTTTCTGCAATCAAGGCCCGGATGGTGTGGAGTCATATTTCATCAGATCTAAATGCATAGTTACGTTTGAACTAAAAAGAGAAGAAAATCGATTGTTTCTTTCAGTACACAACTGTTTCTAATGTAGAAGCTTTGCTGTCTGCCGCAGTTTGTTTCCTTTTGTTTGTGTCCCCCTCAAGGACTTTGTAACTATGACAACCTGTGTTTAAAATCACTTTCTTTAATCTTTTTTTAATCCATTTTACTGTGGTTCCGTTTTGGTGTTTTGCTTTGACGAGAGGTTGTAATAATTTTTTTTTTATTTTTAAGTTTTGACTTAACTGTCTCGGGTGTCTTACCAGAATCAATAGTGTGCAGTTAAATTATATGTAGTATTTATGTTCGTACTGTACAGTTACAAAATGGAGGCCGACAGACCGCAGATTTGTTTACATTTTTTAAAAATCAGTTTTGGGACATTTTAATTTGATTCTCAATTGTAGTAAATGAGAATCACAACTCTCACATATGTGTTACGTAAAGTGTTATTTATTAATTTTAAAGAAGATAATAATATTCATTTGTTTCAGCTAAATATGATTCATAAAAGTGGAGTGGCCAGCATTTTTCCAGGGGCCTCGTCCCCCCGCCAGCCACCTTTTAGGGATGCCACTGCTTAATGAGCATTAAAACGCAAACTTCTTTAAGTCTACATTTCTATATTAAAAATGTTTCAAAATTTGACCAAAAGATTTAACTTGACTTACTTTATTCACCACAAATGGTCAAAGTAGTACTCTGCTTTTTTTGTTTTTTTGTTTTTGCCTAGAAGTGAAAGAGACGAAGTGACGACGACTGGGTGTTTTATACGATCCATAGATGTCCATCTATATGGTTTTAAGCATTTTATTGAATGGAGTCTGTTCTCCTAAGTGAGCAGACATGGACAGGATGCTGCATAATGAGGGCTGTAAACAAAGCTTGAAGGGACAGATGTGAGTCCTCACGTCTTCTGCAGCTCTCCAGGATCTGATGGAGAGCCTCCAGCTTCACATCTTGATGAGCTGAACTGAAACAGAGCTGTGTGGCTGGGAGACGCCGGCATGCGGGTGCATGTCTCTGATTGTACGCGGGACTCCAAACAAGCATGTAATTATGCACATTGTTGCCCCCTTTTTTTTTTTGTTTTGATGCATCGGATGCTGAAGTGGAACTGGACTTCCTGGCAGAATAGAATCCTTGAATTTGGATCCCACTGCACTCCGTCATGGATAATGAAACCTTACGCTGCGGAAAAAAACCCCCTGCCCATCCATCCATAGAGCCTCTGCTGTGGTTTCCAGACCCCACAACGCAGCGGCGTGCTGAGAGAGCACTCACATGTCTCAGGCCTGCCGATGACCGTAAAGCTGCTGCTGTTCACTGTCAGCCAGAGATGAAAGTGAGAGAAACTCATTGCACCTGAGAGGAATCCAGTGATTGCTTCTCTAAAGAAAAATATGCTTTTCTACAAATCAGTAGAGTGGCTACAGAAAATGCATTTCCCGGTTTCCAGCGGCAAAGGTCAAAGTCGAGTTTATTTGTAAAACACATTTCGGCGACAAGGCAGTTCAAAGTTCGGATAAAAGCAAAATACATCCACCAATTATGAAACAAGCAATAAACTTTACATTTTATCATCAAATACGCTGCTCAATTTTACACTTGCTACCAACTCTGTGAACAATAAAGATAAGTTTAAAGTAAAGTCAGGTTATAAAATAATGATGGTTTGAACAGAGCAGTGTTCAAATCTGTCAGTGCAAACCTACAACATCTGGTTTCTGTAGTTCAAAACATTTTAGATCATTAAATTTAGCATGAAACTTAAAAGCAAGCTTGCCATTAATGATTTCTCTCAGGTAACTTGTAATTTGTAGCTCCATGGTTTTATCTTGGGCTGTCCTTTATAAGAGGATTTTCTCAGAGGGGAGAGATAAAAAAAGTTAGTTTGGGATTTTTAGCATAAGTTTGAGGCTGCATGAAATGCAAATTGTAGAGATACAAATATCTGTGGGACTGAGAGTGAAAAACAGTAAACTACAGAATTATCTGCATTAAAAGACTTAAAGCTGGGATGGAGGACAAAATAAAGTCAGAATACAATCAAATTTCGTTCAGAAATCTAAGAATTACAGGCAAAACTTGACAATTCATGTTCAGAAATGCTCTCCGTCCGTTTTTGTTTCACCTCAAAAACACAAATGTAGTCTTTCAAACTGAAAGATCACCGAAATGTTACAAAACTTCAAATTTTATTTCAATAAACCCAGTAGTTTCTATTCATAAAAGATGGATAAAACTTCAAAGATTTTCATTTTCTGAGTCAAACATGAACGTCAAACGTTTCCCAGCGCCAACACGCTGCGTCAGTGAAACTTTTATCCCGAGCAGCGGGACAGCACTGTTACGTCAGGTCAAAGGTCAGCGTGTTCGCGTCTCTGCTTTGGGTTATGGGGTTTGATCTTCCAGGTCTTTTTTCTGGACCGCTCCCGATAGACGAGCAAACGGCTTACCCGACAAGGGATATGATGGAAAACAGACGAGCGCCGGGTCCAAACACGCAGCGCCGCACAATTAGAAGAAGGCGAGCGGATACGTAAAGGCCAATAGGCAAGTTATTCCATTTCTCACATAGCAGATGTGACAGCTGCTTGTAAGATCTGAGGATGCGGCTGTTTGGGAAGTAATGGGGCCGTAAGTGAGAACACAGAAACATTTAACTGCCCGGCTCTCTCGGTTTGCTTTCTCTCGTCGTTCCTCGTAAATTAACACGGTAAAAGGCTTTTTTTTTTTTGGTTTTTTTGTTTATTGTTTTGTGACAGATACCAAAACCAAACTGGATTTTATCCTACCATGAAAGCTGAAGAGTTTCTTCTTTCAGTAGGTAGCGTGGCCGCAAGTTAAACAAACCAACGCCACACAAACACGTCATTAACGTCTCCTAAAATTTTTACTTGCTAAAGTGAAACCAAATAAACCACAGAGTAATCTGTCCAGTCATCTCCTGCCTGACAGCAGAGCTCTGCTTCCTTTTGCAAGATCTTGTTCAGAAGATTGCTCAGGGTTTATTGTGCTGGTTCAGGCGTTTGAGTCTGGTGATAGGTTTTATGGTGGCTGACCAGATGAAAGGTTTTCCTTAGATAAACAGGAGTCTGTGATCACGGCCTGGGCTGAATGAGTGGTTCAAAGCGTAAACACACTTTAGCCAACACTGGGACAAATGTAAGCCTCGGTAATAGCTTCTGGATCATTAAAGGTGTTAAATAAAATCACTTTTATGTAAAAAAAAAAAAAAAAAAAAAAAAATTTTTTGGGGAGAAAATTTCACCTGGAGCTTAATTAAAAAACAAAACGTATATTTCCAAGAGGTACGCACTTCCTGCCTTTGTGTGTTTTGGTTTCGTAAACATAAAATGGGGGTTTAAGATGTGCGATGGGGGTTGGGTGAGGGGTAAGAGGTGTTTTCGGGGGTCACCTGTATCAGTTAGCATGCTTGGTCTCAACATCTGGCTTCTCCGGTGGGACATCACACACACACACACACACACACACACACACACACACACACACACACACACATTGATTAAGCAGAATGACGTTTCTGTTAAATGATTAATTATCCTTAACAGTCTGAAGTAATCTTGTGTTGATTTATTATGGATCTGTTCAGAAGGTTGTGCTCACATTTCTAAACAGTCTCTTCAGTGCCCACAACTGGGTAAGTACTCAGAAATAAAAGAGATATTAGTTGTGTAGCGTTATTTTGGTAGGAAACAAAGCCATTATGTTGCACTTTGTGGTTAAGCTTAGGTGGTGCAATGCTGCTGCTGTCCGATTTCACTTTTTAGTTTTGTTACTGTGCTGAATTTATTGCTCACTTCAGCTTTCAAACAATTGTTGTTTGAATTGTGCTCTTTGCTAAAAGTCCTGCATTTCTAGCTTTTGAACCCGTCTGTTGGTTAAGTTTATGGGCCATGATGAAGATTAGGCATCGTCCATTTGCTGGTACTGTTGATCATTTCATACCAACGTCTTACAAAGCTGTGGCTTTAAAGCAGCAAAAGATTTCTGTCACAACATTCCTACTTTTCAACCTGTTTTAACAAGACGCCAGAGAAAAGTAAAACCAAAAGCAGCAGCAAGTATAATAAGCAAGCAAATTTTCAGAGTGGCATGGGACATATCCTGTAAATAGATGTAGAAGGATGAAGGTCATTTTGTCTGTTCAACAACTTT